CAGCTCCCCATAGGGAACCCAACTAGATGTGGAAGTCCACATTAAAACTTAGAGGGTAGACCTGGGGGTGGGGGTGGGGGTGGGGGTGGGGGACAATGAACAAAATTTGCAGATGTCCTGTAGGCTGTACACTCAGGGGCCGATGTCACATAGAAGGGCAGGATATAGATTTAAGTCAGCTGTACATGATTCTCCAAAACCCAAGGGCAGCCAGGGCTAGGGTTTGGAAGGTCTCAACCTTGGGGTTGGGGGAGACGGGTGAATTTTTACACCTTGCTTGCCCCAGGCCAGCCCAGAGGCAGGCCCATGTTCTTGGCCATCCCAAATCCTCCTGCTTGGGCCAGCCGTACTGGCGGGAGTGGGTGATTGCTGCCACCAACTGCTCTCCCTCCCACCCTGGCGCCTCTCTGCAGAGCCTGGCGGGATACCAGGAACTCAGAGAAGGGCTGTGGCTGTGGGCATCCAGTTGATGAAGTCAGAGTGGGTGGTGCTGTGGGCAGACCTCAGGACTGCACCTTTGCATTCTGCAGCTGAAGGCAAATGCTCTCCTGAAAATGAGATGGCTTAAGAGGGAAGGAATATGGGCGATCAAAAGCCAATCACCCCTTCCTTTGAAACAACCCCCCCCTTTGGGTCCTGAACCTACACGCTTGCATTTCTAATCTGGAAACAGTGCCGAGTGCACAGAACACAGCACTCGCCTGTTTCTAACTTGTCCGACTAACAGGGCCATTTCAGAGGGGAACAACGGCCTTCAGAGCCTCTGCAATTTCCAGAAAGCCTTCAGATAATAACACATTCTTTCCAACAAGCTTACTTAGGGTTGAGAGTTATTTTCCCAAATCTTAAAAACTCTGTCATGAGCAGCTAAGGACCCAGGTCCACGATTCCTGGCTAAACCCCTCCAGATGGTGACACTCATGTCCCTGTGAGCCTTCTCCCACCACCTTTGCCTAACCACAAGTTCCCTAAGCCACAAAATATAATACAAACTATCCTACACCCCACCCTAATCCTGGGAAGTCATACAGATGTGTCTTGGGGATGGGGGGCAGGGTGCTGCAGAGTTTTCTCTCATCTGAGGACATGCTTGCTGGCCAGAAAGTGGCCGCCACCTCTGCAGCTTCTCCACGGGCATGCATAGTGCGCGCTTTGTGTAAGTGCTGAGGAGGCGCAGCGCTGCTCGCGCGCCAACAGCTGTCACATTATTTGCACTCGCTGTAAACAGCCTTCACATTCCCCCCTTACCACATAGTTAAAGCCAGACTAACAATCCACAGTTAGAGATCAAACCAACAACAGCAGCATTGTGTCTGCCTTCGCTGCCTTCGCACCAAGCCCAGCAGCTGGCAGGTTTCTCCGGAACAAGGGACCCCCTCTCTCCCCCCACCCCTCCGGGTTCCAGCCAAGGCTAGCCAAGGAAGCATGCGTTTGTCAGTGCTGTTTGTTAAAGCAAAAGAGCACCGCCATTTCGCAGAGATTTCTATGTGGTTCATCAGCCCTCAACCCAGAGTTTGCTCCTTCTGGTAGCTTGGGGAAGCATCATGGGAATAAGGTTGTTGAGACTCCCAGGGTTGGTTTCTATGCTCAGTAAAGTAGGGGCTGGCCTGCCTGCAGCTCTCCATGCCACGTTACAGAGGCCAGGCAGGACTGCGCTTTCTGCAGCCCTGCAGCCCACAGCGGAATGTCTCCTGTCTTTCAGAAATTGCCCAACTCACTGAATACTTACTGGTCGCCCCAGTGATCAAAATGTCTCCTTTATGATTTTTGGTTAAGTTGAACATTTCCATAATCGTCATTATTAGCGCAAATTACACGCCTAATCGGTCCTTAAATAGATTTTAATTAAATAAGCATACAAGGCTCATTTTATGACTTAAGAAAGGCATTACTTTTCGTTATAAACTTTCCACCAGGATATAGAATAACGATAGCAGACAAATACTTATTCTTTGAAAATCAGCAATAACCGATAGGCAGAGTATCATGAAACAGACCCTGTTTTACCTTCTGGAATTGAAGCTGGGACCAGACATATAACAGCTGCACAACTTTCCTCCTGGGATGGAAGAGGGGATTTCTTCCTCCAAAGCACTACTTCTGTCTTCGCTTTGGCCAGTAGAAATAAACTCCAAATGCTACTTTTCCTTACCCATCTGATTGAGATTTCTCCAGCTAGCCTCTTCTAAGAGACCACTCCTTCCCCACCCCCATCCATTTTCCACGCCTTAGTCTGCTCAGAGTTACGGTGCAAAGCAGGCAGGCTGTGCTTGTTAAATGCTGTGTAAAATGCTGTTAATAAAATAATAAATACAAAGGATGGAGGCTGCTGGTTCCATGGGTGTTTTGACTGGAAATGCCTTGGCACTTGTCATGTGTTTATGGGAGGGCAGACAACTCTAGGATTTACATAGTTTGGACATTTCTGTACTTCATTTATTCTTTCCTAAATGACGTAGACCTCAAGCTATTTCAAGTTTGCATTTGTAAGAACTGTTAAATGCCTAGGAGTTTCTCCAGTTAAACTAAGTTTTAAATCAGACCGAAAGCTGGAACATACACTGACTGGCTCAACTCCACCCTCAGCCTTGGTTGCTGGAGAAAACAAACAGATCCTCGAAAACAATTCTCAGTCCTAAAGCTCCCCACCTTCACCCCAGCTCTGAGGGCCCCTAGGGCAAAGGTTAAGGCATCTCCAGATTCCAGGCTGCACAGTGTGGCAATCATCAGTTAGGCGCATCCTGTCCATGTACTACCTCTAAAATACTGCGCTAAAGTGTGTGTGTGTGTGGGGGGGGCTGCTGGTCTGGTAAAACCCACTGTTCACAAAACAATGTCAGCAAAGGCTGTAAGGCATTCTTTAGAGAGGGACCAGGGATTCGTGCCTACTGAAGCTCTTTCAGCACAAAGGCTTTTAGGGGAAGAAGGGGAAAAGAGAGAGGAGGAGGGGAGAGAGGAGGAGAGAAAGGGAGGGAGGGCTCCTGTTTCAGAGCAGGCATCCCCTGAGAGTCAAGAACCAAGTGTAGCTTCAATCAAACGCTGACTTCCCCTCTGGGAGTCGAGTAGGAAACCTGATCACAGTAGCTTACTACCGGCCTGGATCCATACAGGTCTGGTTTTCCTCTCATGCTAGTAATTTTTTTAAATACATATCGATATAAAAGAAGCAATCCCTGGCAGACTTTATTGAAAACCACACAGAGCCCTCACAACATCCGGACTTAATCCCTATCAAACAAACCACAGCACCTCTGGCCTCTGCAGCAGGCTACCCCCTCTCACCTCTTCCAACCAGGTCTCTCCCCTCTAGCCGCTGCTGTTTCCTCCCCCAGAAGAATGCTGGGAAGACTTGCCAAAGAGCACCCACACCGACACCGGTTCTGAAATCAATTCCTCACCATATAAAGATCTTACTTAGAAGGGAAAAAAAGTCCAGGTCCTTTCATATGGAATCCTTTAAAAGGCAGAATGCAAAGAACTGTTAACAAAGGGAAGGAAGAACCATGGAGTCAGACCTCGAGAAACACCCTTAGAGGGGAGCTTTAACCTGCATACTTGGGTCCCAGGACACTGGCCTAGCAGGTCTCAGAGGGTATGAGGGGCAGCAGGGAATGGAGGATCAACCATAGGAACATAACCAGTCATTCAAAGCAATTATTAATCCTTGGGGCCTACTATGTGCCAAGTATTCTATTTAAAACCTAAAGGTGGATAATTATTCCCAGTCTTACAAATGAAGAAACTTACTGAGGCTCAGAGGCCATAAATAACTTGCCCCCAAGGTCACACAGCTAGTAAAAAATGGGCCATGGTCAAACTCAGTCCTGGAGTTGCGGAGAGGAGCCAATTATTGGTCTAAATGTGCCATTTGAAAACCCCATTTTCACATACTGTCTCCTTGAAGAAGTTCGAAATGGTTCCTTAGGCCCTGTGTACCCAAGTACAGTGTAAAAAGTGTTTGATACCTATGTTTCACCATCTACACAATGAGCCTTGAACCCAGTTTCTACTACATCTAGTAATCTCTTAGTCCACTGAAAGTCTTCACAATTTCCCCCTACATCCTACAAATCTCCCTATGCTGAAATACCCTGGTGTAAGACCAATGCACAAAGCTCCACTTTCCTTTCCTCCAGTATCCCAGAATAGTCAGGGGTAGGTGGGTCGCTATTCTCAGGCCTTTAGGAAAGTGCTGACTGCTGGTACTAGGAACTAGGCTTGTCACCCGTTTTACCACATAAAGCAATAAATCAAATTATCTAGATGGAGCAAAAGTCCTTTGGAAGGAGCTCCTACACTAATCTTTCCTAGGGTTTAAAGGAAGAACTCCAGGGACCGAAGTAGAGTGGGAGAGGGAATTAAGATGGAAGAAGAGGCATTCAAGATGCCCAGCCCTACTGGATCAACCAGTGTTCCCACAAAAAGCCAAGCGAGGAGGTGAGGTATATCTTTTCCCAATCTCTCATCCCAGAAGCGCTGGGCCCAACATCCCCCCAATCCCGAAGTCTGCTCCGGGAACTACCTACACCCGACGCCGCAGGCGCCACTGGCAAGGGCCACCTCTGGCTCAGCTCGGTGGGGACAGGCTCCGCAACACCGAACACTTGGGCCGCCCCTTCGGCTTCCAGATCCTGGACCCGGTTGCTCCTCCCGACGCCGAAGCTCCAGATGTACGAAACGGATCAACGAGCAAGGGCCTAGGCGGCAGGAGTGACAGAGGGGGGACAGCAGCACCAGGGCGCTCACCCCACTTGCCACTCGAGCTCGCCCCGGTGGCCTAGCCGCCCCTGGCTCGGGGCCAGCCCTCTGCCAGTGGCTTTCTTTCTCTTTTTAAAACTTTCCAGTCTGGGCGATTGGGCAGGGTTTCCAGCCCTGCCCCCCCCACACCAATCTCGGGGCTGGCCTCCCAACCACTCCGGGAGGATCCCCAACCCCGCCCCGGGGCACCACTAGACGGCACCCCGAGCAGACGCCTTTCCCCCCACCCTACCCCTGCCTACTTGGGCCACCTGGAGCGGGCGGCTTCCCAAAACAAACACCGTCCGGCCGAGCTTGGGACCGCAGCGTCCGGAGAGGAACTCCCCACAGCCCCAACGGTCCCCAGCCTGCTCGCGGCACAGCGCGTGCAGTGCACCCTACACATTTGCTCACACTCTAAAAGGTCTAAAGCTTCAGGAGGGGGAGGGGGAGAAAGCAAAGCGGGAAGGGGGAAGGGCTGCCTTTCTTTTTTTTTTAACTCTTCATTTGCAAGAGTTTTTGGTGTTCCTGGCACGATTGCAAACGCCAGGGCAGAACAATAGAAATGGGGGTTGCCGGAAATGGTGCAGAAGACCCCTTATAACCCTATAAACCTCCCCTCCCCCTCGCCGTTACTATTAGCATTAAAAGACGCCCAGTGCCAGCAATGCAATAGTGCCTTTTTATAACTTTTTTTCCTAAACACGCCCCCTCCCTACATTATAAAATCACAAGGGCAAAGACTGCTCCCAAAGTGGTGACCTCCCGAAGCTCTAGGGCCTTTCACCTGCTCTGCCCCAGGCACCTTGACCAGACTCATCCCCTCCCCCAACAGTTCCCCCGGTTCGCACCTAGACAATAAATTTAGTTTAATTTAGCTTCCGGTCTTTAATTTTAGCAGGTCTCCTTTTTGCATGCAAATCAATATGGCAATTACCATCTAAAAGCTCGCCCAGCCCCGGGTCAATGTAAATTGATCATTGTCCGCCTTCCACAAAATAACACCGGGAGTCTGTGGTGCATAATGAGATTATACTGGAAACTGTCTTTTAGATCACAAATTATATTTTATGCTGTCAAAATCTTCTCTGAGTGGACTTCCCCGCTTCTCTAATCGCGGAGAGCCGAGCCCGTGGGTGCTAGCTGGGGAGACTCGGCTTAAAGAAAAAAAAACGAAGTGAGGATCCCTGTTTCTGAAACCCTCGATTGAGAACACAGGGAGGTGAGCTTGCGCCCCGAAAGGGGGCCTTTCCACAGAAATAGCACAGAAAAACATCGTTAATGAACTACCACTCAACAAAAAGTCAGACATCCCTTCTTGAGGAACATGTGGAGGGCAGCAGAGAAAGCCGTCGAGCAGGGCTGGAGATCAGTGGATGTCCCCGGCCAAGTGCTCCCGACGAGCATGGCTTGGCCACCACAGGGGTGGACGGAGGAGGCCATTCACTCCGGCCCCGGCGGCTTTTGCTCCTGGCTCCACCACCTAGGCCTCTGCTGCGCGGCCGGCCGGATTTGCAACGGGACGGAATCCCGTCGGCCATGAACACAGGCGAAGAAGCCGGGCGGCCGAGGACTCCCTACTGCTCTCTGGGCGAGGCCCCCACGAGGTCCGATCCATGCGACAGGCCGGGGTTCCGAAGCAAGGAGAAAGTCCAGTCTTCACCGACAGCCCAGCTCTCTCACCCCTCGGTGGCCCCCAGGGCACGGGTGTGACCCTGGGACCTAACAAAGGGCCTTCAGAGCTCCTTTCGGCCCGGGCCGGCGGGGGAGGGGTGGGGCGCGGCAGCGGAGATGGACCCACGCGGTTTCCCGCCCCGCCTAGCTGGGTCTGCCGGTCCTGGCGCCCTCGAGGAAACCACCAGAGTGGCATTGTCAGGGCTGCCGGGGGCTCCTGAGTACCGTCCGGCGGCCCGCGAGCCTCCCGCCCAGCCCGCGGCCCAGCCCTGCCCCGCCCGGCCTGGCGCGGGCTCCACCCAAGTGCGGTCTTCCCAATAAAAGCTGGAATTCCCGGCTGGGCTTAGACAAAGAGGGACCGCAGCAAATCGACGCCGCGGGCAAACCGAACCCAAGCCGGAGTTTACGTGAGCGTCTGGGGTCACGGAGGCGCCTGCTAATCCACCCTACACAGGCTGTCCGTCCCCAGCATGGACTCCTCCAGGAAAAAAACAAAAAACAAAAAAACAAAAAGCATACCTCCCTTTTATTCCTCCCAGAGGCCACACTTCTTCCGGTTGTGTCTTTCCCAGTCCACTAGGCCCTGCTCAACCTTAGGAAAAGGACCCCAGCAGTGCAACATCCATTCCTCCTAACCACAAAGTGGAAAGCTACTCCTTTTCTCTCCACTATCCAGCCACGCAAGGTTAAGAACTCGAAATCTCTTCCGAAATCCTCCCACCTGCACAACACATACCCTCTGCCCACCCCACCTCACCCCCATAAGGGAAAAACTATACCAGAAGTAATCCTAGTTAACTGAGGACCATCCACCCGCTAGGCTGCTTGCTTGGCCCCCCAGTTTCCTTCTGGCCAAAGACGCTAGTTACTGGTGAATAAGTGTGTGAATGTGGCTGTGTGACCCACACTTCCATACCCACGACAGTCCCACTCTGCAGGAAAGTCTTCCTTAGGCATTCAGGAGTTTTTGTCATTCAGCCTGTGTATCTAAGCATGGATGTATGCATATGAATGCTTTTTGTGTTTCCAAGTGACCCTCTTCACACCTTTAAATAGGCTATTGTCTCTGGAACGCTCTTACAGAAAATTCTGCCCCAGTTTCCAGCTCAACAAAGTCTGGGATTTTTCTCTGAGAATATCGCCATACATCTCTGTATTTGCATACCCATGTTTACATTCCCCTTGGCCAGTTCTTTATCTCTTATGTATCTCTGGTTTCATTTGGGCTTCTGAGCCCAAGTGTCTTGATTTGTCTCAGCACATGTCATTCAGGCGCACATCTTAATCTGAGCATTCCTACTACTTACATTCTTCTTGCTCTGCCTAAAATATGGCTCATTCCCAGGCCAGACCCGTAAGGGTTTGCAGTTGAAATGTAAATTGAGGATCCCTTAGACCACAAACCCTTAAAAGAAAGTGAGAGGAGGGAGGAGACAGTGGAACGTTAGTATTGAGTTATTTATGTATAGGGTAACCCATTCACACCAATTTCAAGCCTGGAAAGAACTACACAGATGTCTGCAGAGTTGTATTAAATTTTTAGACCAATTCAATATTAGCCCCATATATGTATATACAAATGATAGATCTTCATAACAAACCAGTGGCCAACTCCTGTTTGGAGGCTGTCTCCCTGCACATATCTGATTCTAACTCTCCACAAGTTCAAGGACCACTTTGCTCTCTTCAATGCATACCTGTACACACTGGCCTGGCATCTCAGGCTCAGGTCCTTGGTCTGCAGCAGTCTCAGAGGCCCCACCTTACTACATCTGTGTACAGACCTTCTCATCTTTGAACGCAGGCATGAATTCTCTTTCCTTACATTAAGGTCTATGCCTGCATCTCCCAAACTTAGTTCCTAAAGTGAGGGTGCCCATTGTGTGTGTTCACAGCTCTCTCATTGAGAAGTACGTGGTCAAACTAGATCATCTAGCAGCTGCGTTTGGTTTGTCTAAGAATCCAGCCCCACGCATCAGGATATAACCATGCACACACAGAAAAGAAAACCCTAGGCCTAGACTCCCACCCCCTCCACCCTGCGGGCTACACCGCTTCCAGGAATATCTACTAGGTTCTTTGCCCCACTTCCCCATTACACTATCCCCACAGCCTTTAAAGGGTTAAGAAAAACCCCAGCACCTTCCCTCCACCCCGCTCACCAGGTCCGTGAGTCCCTAGCCTAGCTCGCTCACGGGAGTCTACATCCCAGACTCCCGTCTCCGAGCCTCCCCCCACCCCCCAGTCCTTCAGCCGGGAGGGAGCCTGCATGCCTGTCTAGACCGATCTATCACTGGCACACCAACAACACCCGCGAGAGCGCGGAGACCCTGCCCAGGTCCCCCGGCCCGCATGGTTCACGGCAGACAGAACCCGGGGAGCGTGACGGCGCCTGCGGGGTGGGGATGGGGAAGGGGGGGACCGTACAGGCGCTGGCCACCCTGAGCGCACCGCAGGTCCTCCGCCCCAGCCCCGGCCCCCGGCGCTCCCACCAACCCGACTGCCGACTGCCGGGGCACAGTCACAGCTCTGCGCGCTGGGCAGTCCTATTTTTATCTTGTCTAATCCCAAACTGGGCGGGGAGCACAGGCGTCGTGCTTAGAGAACAAGAGATAGGCGAAGGAGGCGGGGAGGAGCAGCCAGGCAGCGACGCGAGCTGGAGCGAGTTAAAGACACAGTGGAGGCGACCGCGAGCAGGAAGAAAGAGCGGGCTGCGCGGGCCTCGAGCCGCCGCACGCAACGCGCCGCCCCGCGAAGTTACACTCGCCTCCACGCCGTCCCTCGCTGCCCGCCCCTCCCCACTTCCCAGGGGCGCTCTCCGTAGCCCGGACCGCGGGCCCCCGGCCTGTGTGGGAGGCGGAGGCCAGGACGGCCCTGCAAAGGGCTGGAGAGAATCGCTAATGAGCTGTGCGGCCCATTGATCCGGAGAACACTTCCTAATTAACTCTCAGTCACCTACTGGTGACAGCGCCTCAAAGGACAGCGCTAGGGCCGGCTGAGCTCCAGCCCTGACCTGCCGGCCGAGCGCCTGGCGCCCGAAACCCGCGCGCTCCCCTACCACCCCAGACAATTCGCGTGCGTGGCGGTGTATACCCGCACACTGAAGGCTAGCCTCGGATTAAACCTGGACGGCGTATTAATCATCGCCTCCCCCCACCTTCCTCTACGCGGTGAAATCGTGCCCAAAATAAACACGGGAACCAACACTGCAAAGCTCAGACCAGATAACAGGTCGTGGGTGGAGGGAAGGGTCGAGAAGCGAGCGTATTCCCCAAGTGTCCACGTACAGGAGCCTCCGAGGCTGACAAATAAAATGCCTTCCACACAAGCAATTCTGTTGGCAAAACCGAACCCAACACCTCGTCAGGATTGATTTCGGCCCGCGGTGTCCGCTTCCAGTGCCACAGGAAGTGTCAGATGGCTAGAAATACCCGTCTGTCTGCACTCACCACCCACCACCTTCTGGGGTGGGCCATTTCCTCCTCGTTTTTACTCTCAGGCCATTTTAAGGATTTTTCTCCGAGATGCTACCCCTAGAACTAAATATCACTACCTCTCGCCTAGCCTCAAGAAAAAGGGAAAAGGAAAAAAATACAGCTAAAATCCTAAACTGTCTAGTCTAGACGCAGCGAAGCTATGCGAATACCTATCTGAAGCGCGCTGGTTTCTTTTTAAGGTTTGTTTTTAAATACACATAACCCTTCCTTCTTTGCTCTTCCATTCCCCCAACCCCCACCTTCCAGACGCCGGCGGCGCGCGCCCTCGCGCGCGGGCACTCACAGCCTCTAGCTGGAGATCGCGGACTTTCTGGAAAAGATTCATTAACAGCAAATTAAGCCTCGCCAGGCCTCGGCCTACACGCGGCCAGACTTGTCCGTCTCCCGGACGCGGAGACGTGCCCACTCGAGCGTGCGAGCGGCGGGAAGCCAGCCGGGACCACGCGTGCCTCGAGCTTCCCTACTCCGCACACGGCGCCCCAAGGCTCTCTTGGTAAACAGCAGGCGCTCGTCGCCGCTGCCCGGAGCCCCCGAGTTGGCTGAGGCTCTGCAGCGCAGCCGCCCGCCCGCTCCGAGCGCGGGCCCCGCGGCGCGTCGGCGCCTCGCCCTCCCCGCCTCGGCCGAGGATCGCGCCCTGGTGCGCAAGTTCCCCTTCGCCCTGATCCTCCGCGCCGCACGCCCTCCAAGTGGGCCAACTTCCTCCGGCCGCAGACTTTCACACGCCCATCCGGGCTCCCCATCAGACTCCCCGTAGCCCAGCGGAGGGCCCAGGTCTCGTCCTCCCCCGCCCTCCTTCCCGCCCCCGCCCCCCCCCCGCATAAGCACATTCTACACCCACCCCTGGGGGCTCATAACTTAAAAACCTGTCCCGAAACCTCTGGGGGAGGGGGAAGGGGAGGGGTCGCAGATTATAATCTTAAAAGAACGTTTACAAAACAAAGCCTCTGACCTGGCTGGCGGGCGGACCGACCAAATCGGAACCCCTAGGTCTGCTTGATTTCCTAGTAGTTTTTTTTTTTTTTAATCCACGTGATTCGCGCTTTGGGGCAAGCCAAGAAAAAACCCGGGACTCCCCTCCCGAGTTGCGCGGCAGCGGCAGGTCGAGCTCGGCTCGGCCCGAGGCGCCCGCCACACACCCTCGCGCACGCACACGCCGCCGTTCCACTTGGAGGAACGACCGGCCCCCTGAGAGGCGAGACGAGGCGGTAGCGGCGGCGGCTGGGGGTTTTTACAGTGCTTTCCCGAGTCGAAAAAGAAAGCAGACGGGAACCCGCCGCCCTCCCCTTCCTGCTCGCAAGCTAAAGCCGAGCCGAGCTTCCCAGCTTCCAGCCCACCTCCCCCCCCTCCGTCCGACTCCCGGCGCTCAGCGGCGACCGCGCTCCCGCGCAGACACAGGCTGCAAACTTCCACTCTGCGAACTCCCAGCTCTCCTCCCAGTACCCCCGGAGGCGGCGGCCCCCCCTGCCGCGTCCCCTCTCTCCCTGTTGCCCACGCGGGGCCGCTTAGATTGGCCGTATTCTTCATAACTTATAGCTATGGAATAAAAACGAAAGCGAGCAAGGCAGCCAAAGGGAAGCGCGAGGCAAAGAGCTTGCGGGGTACACGGCGGTGGGAACCCCGGGGGAGGGGGCCGATTGCTGCCCGCGACGCGCCCGGCCTCCCGCAGCCTCCCTGGGGAAAGGTGTTTC